AACGCACATGCGAGTCCAACCGCAGAAATTCAAGTCTACGAGTTTGAAATGAACAGACGAATTTTGAAGTCCGTGCATATGGAACAGGCAACTGATGTGTAACCCGACAATCCAATACCCGACATGGACCGGACACAGGGCGAGGGGTCGTGGTTCGCAATGTGATTAAGCCGTCCTATCGGTTTTCTCCACCCCCCCCCCCCCCCAGGGATAAGTTTGAAAATGTTAGCCCGATATTGCTATTTAATCTGGCGCCATGAGCTTGGAAAAGTTGAAGTTGTGGATTTGAGTTTTCGAGTTCACTCCCCGCTCTCAGGGGAACATGCTTACGTGGACATTACGTGGCAATAAGTTCCGGTAAAGGAACCTTTAGACGTCCTGACAAAGGGCGGAACCGAATTGACAAAGAGAAGTAATAATCACCATTTACAAATCATCCGAACCGATTTCGATAAAATGATTTAATAATATGGCGAATCACGGTCTCTGGCCCGTTTACCCGTCTTTGTCTGGTATGGTAGTGGGTAAGTCTTAGTTATGTATGGTCTCAGCAAATATACTACATGGACGTTGGTTGGTACACACTTTTAATAAAACAAAAAAAAATAGTGTTATTAATAATTTTGAGGTAGGCCTATTTAGCGTTACTCTAACAGGCTTACGCGGACATTACATGACAGTAGGTTGTGTCAAAGAACCTTCAGACGTCCTTCAATAAAGCCCTGACGAAAGCAGAACCGAATAGGCAAAGGAAAAGTAATAATAATCGTTAGCAAATAAACCATTCAATAAGATGGCTGAATTATATCGGTCGGTCAGTAGTTTATTTTTCATCAAAATGAAAATACACTCGATGCGAACAAAAGCTAGGAAAAAAAACACATAAAAATGGCATTTCACAGTGAAGGGTGACGCAGAAAGTCAATGTTGGTTATAGCGAACCACGGCCTCGGGCCCGATTACCCGTCTATGTCAGGTATGGTAATATATATATAACTGTTAGGTATGGATGGCCTCAGCGGATATGCGACATAGACGTGCTTTTTTATTAAAAAATAAACGAAATTTTCGTCGTGTTGATATTAATTTCGAAGTGGTTTTAGCGTTTCTCTGACACGCTTACGTGGGCATTAAATGATAATAAGATCAGACAATAGAACCTTCAAACGTCCCTCGCGATAAGCCCCGGCGAAATGATCAGTGTTTAAAAATCAACCTTATCACATGGCGAACCACGTAATCTGGTCCGTTTACCCGTTTATGTCAGGTTTGGTAATAGGTAACTGTTAGATATGTATGGCCCCCGCGTATATGTAAGATGGACGTTGGTACATACTTTAAAACAACGAAAATTTTATAGTGTTATTATTAATTTCGAAGTGCGCCATTTTAGCGTTTCTCTGACACGCTTACGTGGGTATTTAATGATAACAAGTTCTGACAAAGGAACCTTCAAACGTCCTTCGCGATAAGCGAAAGCAGAACCGAATTGACAAAGCGGATGTAATAGTCACCGTTCTTAGTATTTCAATTACTTACAAATTCAACTGACTATTCAAACTTATTTACCGACGGTAATGTTATGTTCTTGGTTTAGATGTGTATAAGACTCTAAGGAAGCGTTTCGATTTAGTGTATGAACCAGGTTTCTCGCGGCTTAATCGTGTTTCTCGTAAAATACACTAATCTGGATTGATGCCTTAATTGAAAGCCACAGAAAAATCTTGCCAAAACGTGCGAAAACCGCGAAAAACCAACAAAAACCTTGCAATCGGCTGAACTTAATGATTTGACAAATCAAAAAAACTTGCTCTATTTTTGGTGCACGCTAAGATATTTTATTTGTAATTTCGTTTTTTAATTGCGTAATCATAATAACCCGCTAACGCGCCGCCGAGAATTGCGTAGGGTTTGTTACGGATTATGATTTCAGTGCAACTGACTAATCCAAGCTTGTTTCTCTACGGCTAGTAGAATGCAATGTTATGTTCTTGCTTGAAATGTATATAAGACTCTTAAAATGATTCAGTCAAGCGTATAAACTGTGATTATAGTTGCTTAATTAAGCAGGTTTCTCGCTAATACACTAATCTAGATTGCACTAATCTACTTTGCTCAATTTCAAAAAAAAATTGAGGTCTTTTCGAACATAACGTTACTTATTAAAAATAAGAAATCACTATAAGACCATATGCATGCTACCATATGCACCTATGGAAATTTTTTTTTGTTTTACGGATATTTGAACCCATGCTAACCCTAACCCAATGGTTTTAGCACACGCATATAAATTGAACCCGCGGATATACACATGGGTTCAAATGTACGGTCACCGGTGGTTATTTATTTAAATAATTTATCTACTTGCCTCTGTGGAGTGTGTTTGTATAGAGATCATTGGTTCTCAAACTGGGGGTAATCACCCCTAAGGGGGTGATTTGGTAATTTTTAGAGGTTAATCCAGGCATTCACTGTTTCATAATTTATTTTTTAATCCCCGTATTTTTGACTAGTCTGCAGAAAAGCTGCTTCAATGCTCGCGTCTAGTCCATGAGTCTAGTCATCGAGTCACACGGTTAGTAAGGACATAATAACAATACTTCGTCGTAATGACTGTAGGCTAAAATGCTGAGTTCGCGCAAGTTTAGTATTTCAGACTCGGATCGGAAGATAGGCAGTAGGTTTTAGTAGTATCGTCATTTTCAGTGGAGAAAAAGAGATAACGATATGACATATGACTACTGTATTTTTATGAAATGAAAAGGGGAATTTAGCTTATTCCATTTAGAGATAACGATATGACTACTGTATTTTTGTCAAAGAGGTAATTGGGCCCTTGGTAATTTCATATAGGGGTAACGATATCAAAAGTTTGAACCCACTGATATAGATGGATCGCCACAATGTTGGCTAACCTTGTGTATTACCAGTTATGCGTGCTTCAGAATAAATTCAGTGTTCCAAGAGGATTACACGCTACTTTTTATATTTTTAGCTATTGGGAATTGGATGTATTTAAATATTTTCAGTCGGAAAATCTTAACATACGGCTTCTTTACGCGCTAAACTTGACCATGGAAGTACGTTGTTTTTTAATAAGTAATTGTTTAAGTATTTTTACTTCACTTAATACATTAATGAGGGCCAAAACAATATATGGTATCTATAAATTCCCTTCGAAATTTAATAAAAAAAAGAGCTTTTATTAACACCCTTTATATTTTCCAAATATAACCCAATGAATGTCTAAAAATGTATATAACAACAAGCTTCCCAAAATGCGTAACCGAATAGGCAGTATTAAAGTCCCATGTAAAACTTTCCTAAAAAAAAGTAAATGTTTTCAGCGGTATTGTACCGGGAACTATTAACAGTCTCGTTGTCTGGCAGAGGCAGCGTTTCGCCTCAATTTAATAAATACACACAAAACGATGTTTAACATACCCGCGATTTTATAAGATGGATTTTGGCCATAGCCATGATTTGGCCAACGCAGCCTTTGTAACCCCAACGGGTCTCGCGCTACCGTAGGCTCCTCAATAATACTAGGTGTCGGGTGTTAATTTAACCGTCCTACCGTGCAATCATGTAAAAGTCTGTGTGTTTCTAAATTCTAATTTTGGAACATTATTTCTGACTGTACTCAGACTGGGCTTGCGGAATCCGAATTGCACAGGGTCCCGCAATAGTTAAGGTCGGCCATGATTGCGACCTGCCTGAAATTTACGTTGCAACACTTGCGCCAAACATGGCGTTAGCTTTATGATCAGTGTTTCTGGCGTCAAATCTGACGTCACGCGGCTCTCTATAACGTTCAAAACAAAGCACAAAAGCAGAACTAAGCCACCGAAAGATAAACAGCCTCTTGTAACCCTATCAAAACTTTTCGATATTATGTTGGTGTTATCGGCCGTATTTACCCCAAACAATTTTAAGTTCTCTCTTAGGTACAGGCCGTTAATTTTTAATCGGTCGATAAATATTTGCTTGACCTTGTAGAAAATGATGTTTTGCCAGTTAATACGCGAATCGGGAGTTATTGCTAGTAGTTAATTATTAGTGTTTTGTTTTATTGTTGCTTCGAATATATTTTTGGCGCCAAAAACTAGCATCGTTTTATGGTGTCATTTCAAACGCATGATTTTGAGCAATGGAGAACGGATAGAATATGATTTACATATTTATCACAAGAGAGAGGAATGCCGATATCAACGCTTAATCATCTAGCGAACCATGGTATATCGTCCGGCCACCAGCCCATGTTAGGGATGGTATAAATTAGGCAGTTATTTGTTTTCCGTATTTATGGACTTCCCTCGTTGTTATAATACATCTTTATTTCGTAATGTAAAAGAAAAACTTTCAAAAATGCCCTACCTGCTTACTACCATGGTCGTTTCGGGTCCACGGCAACATTTACAAATTTACTCTGCGATGAGCGCCGCGTTTATTTTAGGCAAAAATTGTTAAATTAACCGACATAAATTATAGTCCTATATGAGCCAACGTGTTTGTTCAGCACATACAAGACTCGTGAAGTTAGTTTAGTTGTGATCTGGTACTTATTTGAAAGGTAATAAAATGTTAAAAGACGAATTTTATTACAAAATTATAATTCTCAGTCATGAAAGCCGCCAGCCTTGCTCAATAGTTGTCTTAACATCGCAATCTTGAAGTGAGACATTCTTTTCTGGCGCTCCCGAGATTGCGCACAACTTGATAAACCTAACCTGGTACACATACTATGGTCAGGTTGTGCGCCATCCAAGCATGAAACCAGGAATCCTCTCGCACATAATTAGCCCCCACAGAATTTGAACCTGGGTAATCAGAGACGCAACGGCAAGCATATTCCTAACGCCTAACACAAGGCGCCACACTGCCCAGCCAATATTCGAACCCACTATGCTGACTTCAACTTTGCTTTGGGTTAGGGATGTTGTCCATCGATTCACCATAATTAAACTGTGTGCCTTGTATTTTTTTAGCATTTACTCAATTCAATTTACAAAGTAGTTTCTTCAATCAAGCTTACCATTGCATTCCTGGCATGCAAGAAAATGTCTGCTACACAAACTCCACCTAAGATACAAAGTCCCCCAGGCAAAAAGAAAATTTCTGGAAAAGAGGACAGAAACCAAGGTTGGACTTCTATCTGTTGTTGATTATTATTTTCAAGGTACAAAATTTGCAATGATGATGCTTCGTACTAAAATGGAAGAAAAATAAAGTGGACATATGAGATTTAATTTATCATCTGTATTTCCTCGAGAATAAGACCTAGCCTGAATTTTAAAAATTTTGATAAATGAAAATAAAGCCAACCCTCAAAATAAGCCTCAGTGTAAAAAAAAAAATTGAAATAATACTCATTTGGGTGAGCATCAATTTGTATTCAAGTTTCATCATAGCAAGGTCTTGAATCATTAGCTCACTGAAATTAAACTGATCACTGATAGAAGGGTTTATACAATATCCATAGACATAAAAAAACATTTCACTTGATTCAGTTGGTAGAAAGTCATTAGTTTTCCTAATGGTAAGCACTGAAGCATGGAGAGAGAGAGATTTTATTTCGCAAAGAATGTCAACACTATAAAACATTTGAAGCAACAGAAACAAAATAATAATACTTCAATAATAATTGGGTATCATTGTTTGTGAGAGATAACACACCTTTTTATTCGATATAAAAATGATTATGTGAATAAATAACTGTAAATTTAGATCCAGGATTTCGTCCGAGACCTTCACCAGCTACTCCTGGAGAAGAGGATAAACCCGGACAAAAAAATAAAGAGAAAACACCAGCTGTACTAGATCCAAAAGGTGAGTTAAAACACAAATCTCTTTTTCAGCAGTAGATCTCAAATTATTTAAGCCCTGTTATCTTTTTAGATTTTGTCGAGTCTATCTAATCTTCAGTTTACACTAGGGTCTTCGGCACCTAAGTTGTCACTCAGAAGTGAATCTCCTTCATTTTTAAGTGAGCGAGAGGGATCTTGATTTGAGTGAATTCACTTAAAAAAACTTTAATTCAATATTTGCTTTTCAGATCCATCAGCAGTAAAGCCCACAGCTAGTCTAGGAAGTGGAACAGACACCAGACCAAAATCTGAAGAGAATAATATTCATAGCAATCCAAAAGGTTCGTTTCATAAACGTAAATCTTTTAAACGACGGCTAGAAGCAGATTGCAATGGAATGCAGTTGTTAATGTTTTTTTCTTATGTTTAGATTATTATAAATTATCTGTTAAAACACAAGCTTATTAATGGCCTCATTGAAAAATTGTTCCACAAGACTTCCCATAATAATCCCGCTTCGCTGCAGTCAGATGGTTTGTATGAATGCTGTATAAATGCCCGTCCTCCAGGTCCTCTGCAATTTGTTTGTTTGTTTTTGTTTTGTTTCTATCAGAGTTACCAAAATAAAATTGATTGATTGTCTGCGCATCAGAAATAACTAACTAATTCCATACTGGACTGGTATTGGGACAATGGGCAGTGATTTGTCTGACTCGTACCTTTCCTCACCGCAACAACTGTAATACTTGGAATAGTTCAAGTCAACAATGCCAGAAAAAGCTAAACAGAAGAAAATTACCTAATGCGTAAATCTAAAAAAAACATTTTGTTTAGAAAATTGAATTGAGTGAATTCACTTAAAAAAATATTCAATTCAATTATTGGTTTTACAGATCCATCAGCAGTGAAGCCCTCAGCAGGTCTAGGAAGTGGAGCAGTAACCAGACCAAAATCTAAAAAGAATGATATTCCTGGTGACCCCAAAGGTTCGTGTCTTGTACATAAATCTCTTGAAATATTTTGAATTATAAAGGAATGCAATTGTCAATATGTTATGGGAAGCAGGTTTACTTATTTACAGTGTTAGAGTGCGCTATAATTTGGATTTTATCATTACAGGGAGTCCTCGGGTTACGACGGTCGCGACTTACGCTGTTTCGAGGTTACAAACGCGCACTCCCTTACGCTGTTTCGATGCTACGAACGTGCACTCCATAACGCTGTTTCGAGGTTACGAACGCACTCCATGAAAAATATAAAAGATAACACTGTACTGTACAGTATTTGCTTTATTCATGTGATATGGAATTTTTTTCTGTTTTTTTAATAAAGTACTTTTTGCATTATTTGTACATTTTATTACTGTACCATACTTCACAATACAGTACAATATGTAATAATAATTTATGTACTGTACAGTATAATGTTCTGACTTACACTGAAATTCGGGTTACACCGCGTCTCGAGAACGGAACAACGTCGTAAGTCGAGGACTTCCTGTATTACATTATTGGGTACTCCCAAAGTATGCGAACCAAGATGGCGGACACCGGGTAGTATGTGTATCAGCTAAAATAGTCCATTGTTGCCTGGCTACAGGCAATGATTACAATACTAAGAAGAACAAGAGAGCTATGCTCAAATATATGAACACGTAGCGCCACCCAATGGCAATAATTTTGATGACATCATAGCGAAAAAAAATGCAATAGCCTTCTGGAGAAAAATTTCAAAGCAATTGGTCCAGTATTCGAAGAGAAAAGCGATATTTTAATGATAATGACGAAAGAAAATAACAATAACAACATAGTATTGAAACGATTGTTATGTCCACTTCGTGTCCAATAATGGGTATTCCCGAAGTATGTGAACCAAGATAGCGGACACTGGAATGTAATATGCGTACCAGGTTAGGGCATAATATCACGTACAAATACTACAAAAGTCACTTGGCTAGTTACTGAACTCGTAATGGAACTAAAATAAGGAAAATTGGAATAAAAGTTTGGCCTAACTCTAACCTGGAAAGCATATTACAGTGTTCTTCAACCTTTTTTATCGTGGTATACCTTTTACAATTTTTCAAGAACTTTGTATACCTTACAAATACCAATGTTATTTGAGGCTTGAATAAACAAAAAATTTTAAGCACATATTGTACTGCAATATCATCATGCAATCTAATAGGATAGTGTCGGCAAGTTATAAATTTGACTGAGGGCCTTAGCGTCAACGGAAATAATGTTCAACGTAAATCGAACAAATGCATAGCAGCCGAAATCACCAACCCAGACATATGACTGCATTATCTATATAATTTGTGATGTAACAATGTGCTCACGTTGGTTCTTAGCGATAATGACATTTTATATTTCATGTGCGCCGCGTTTGCATTGTTGTCTCCGCTTGAATATTTGATAATTTATTATATTAGAATTTAGAATCCCTGACTTAGGCTGTACACCCTTCGTATACCCTTTATCAGTTGTATACCCAACTTATGGACTGGTATACACTTGGGTATACCGTATACCCGGTTGAAGAGCACTGGCACATTACATTCCAGTGTCTACTATCTTGGTTCTCATACTTCGGTAGTACCCATAAAAACCCTGTTTATGTCCTGTCTTGGTAGAATCTCACCTTAGGGGTCGGTCGACCTTGTTGACCTTGGAAGTCTTGCCCGTCCCCTTCCGTATACATTTTTTTGCTTATTGTTGTTTGCTTAATTGTATTATGTACTTGTATCGGAAATAAATCGTTATCTGGCCATAACAACTGTAATACTTGGAGTATTTCAAGTTAACACCACCAGAAACAGCTGGACAAAAGAAGATTACCTGATGTGGAAATTTAAAAATTATTTTATGTTCAGAAAACTCATTGACTAGTGAAAACCTTTACTGTGGATCGAAAAGTTTTATGCTATCCTGATTTGTGATAAAAAAATTCTCAGTATTCTTTTTTTTAGAAGAACACAATAATCAAAAGAGCAGTACCAAGGGTCGAGGTCCCAGAGGAAGATCAAAAAGTCATGACAGAAAGAAAAAGGGTGGGACATATTTTCATTTTATTATACAAGATTCACACTTTAAGTGGTAGAAACATGTATGATACCACTGTTTACCCTGTTTTTTTTTTATGCGACAAGCCAGGTTTTCGAACTGAATGAAACTCAAGCCAACTGGTGATTTTGTTATTAACATTTAAAGGGCGAGTAAATCATAAATTCTTTGTCACACAATTATCTCACAGCACAGTACAATAAAAGCTTTTCACACCAAAGAATGCAATTGTGTCGTAATTAGGGCTGGGCGTTTCGAAACAATGTTTCGAAATGTTTCGAGACACTGATATGTCGAAACGGCGGCGTTTCGACCTTCGAAACGGATATTATGACGTCATAGCAAATGCAACCTGTAATTAGTGTCCAATTCGAATTTAATATCCGAATTTATTCGAATATCGTGACTCTCAAATATCGTTTTCAGTGTTTATAAGAATATTAAATATCGCGCAAACGTCCAAGCGCCGCCGTCCACGTTTTGATCTGGCCGCTGCTTTGTCATTGAGCAGAAACATTCGTGGAATTATCATTATCGTTTTATCCTCTCGAATTAGCATCCAGTGATATCCTTTTGTGGATTTAATTGTGGAAAATAGATGTCATTATACATTAAATTCCATGGGTAATAATGGTATCATATTTCACTGTTTATGACAAACGTGTGTTTCGTTTCGTTTCGATTTCGAAACACCAGTGTTTCGAAAATGCCCAGCCCTAGTCGTAATAATGTACAATTGTATGTTAAAATGAATGAAGCTCGTGCTCGTGTGTCTTTGACATAATAGGAGGATGGTAACCAATCATAATATTTTGAATCGAAATTTGATGATCGTTATTTAGCAAGTTATTTTACTTAGAATAAACAAGATGAAAAGAGCCGCATAAAACTGCCACAAGAGTTACATGCGGCTCGCGAGCCATGGGTTGGTCACCACTGATTTCAATGTTATCTTTTTGACATGACACTCAGGGGTGCAAAGAATCTACTTGACTATATGCTCAAAGTTGTAATTTGCCGGGACTCAGACATGACTTGAGAATCGACTTTGCTAAATTTCCGTCACTGTACCTATCATACAAAAAAGTGTACATACCAGACACCTTGGGGTGCAAGGATTCTGCTTGACTCGGTATTCGAAAAGTTTTGGAATTACTTTTACTCGGACATGTATGACTCTTGATTCGACTTAGCTTGAGATTCGGGCCTAGGGAGTTCTGCTCATTTAATTTAAATTTATAAATTAAACTTTTCATTTAGATGAAAGAGCTGCACAATATAGAACTACTGGTAATGCATATGGCCAAGAACCTTATCACGGTGCACCTAATTTTCCAGCTGCTACTGGTAAGCCCTTTTTTACCACTATTTATTGGCAAATATATTAGTAATTCTTATACGTAAACATCTTTCATTATATAATATCAGGCCAGTAAAGGCGTACTTTGAGAATTGATAAAAAAGATTTTTTTGAAGTAACTAGTCAAGTACCAGCCAATAAAAACATCAAATACAATATTCAAAAAAGAGGTAATAATACAATTTACTGTGGAAGGAAAGTCGCAGGGAACCAAATCTAGTTATCGAACAACGACACCCAAGGTTCTAATAGTTAAAATGATCGGGTAATTTAATTATGAAACTACAGTTTTCAATAGAAGCTTTTTTAGGTGGAAGAGCTGGACGATCTCAAACTCCTGGTTCTGCACATAGGCAAGCACTTGTTCCAACTTCTCAGACAGGTGAGTTTCTTATCGAAATTGAAATAGGATTTACATATCTATCTCGTGGGAAAAGCCGACAATATGACTTAATCACAGGGCGAAGCAAACCCTCTCGTCCGGTTACCAGTTCATGTTGGGTATAGGATTAGTTAGCCAGTCATTTGTTTTTGGAAGCATGGATTTGATGGTGGAGGAAGCCGTTACCGACCAGCGGTTACGTGAACCACCGTATGGTGACTGGTAGTCCAGCAATTTTCTTGCACATAACTATCCCTGTCTGGGATTCCAACCTGCGAACACATGTAGAGTAATCATAGGTGCGGTGGCGAGCCTATTTCAAACGCTTAGCACGATGCGCTACATCGCCTTAATATGCCTTAATTACAATGTCAAAGATTTTTTTATAGAATATTAAAGTGAGAGCTGGGTTTGAATTTTCATATTTCACTGTATTGGTTAAAGGAATAGGAATTATGATTTGAAACTCAGTGGAAACAAAAATTCAAACTTTCAAATTTAGCATAGAAGTGAAAATTTTTTGATTTTTTCATGGCTTATTTAACTACTGATAATAGTAGTAAAAATGAACCAATCAAAACACTGTTTATCATAACTATCTGTCATATAAAATACAATATACAATAACTGTGGTATGGTGAATAAGAATTTAATTACCTTTAGTTCAAGATTTGTTGAGAGTATATATTTAGATAAAAAAAAATGTCAAATGTCATATAACTTATAATCGGCCGATTGTGACTTTTATTATTCAATGTGCTGCCACCAATTGACATTTCATTTAAGGAACCTTTATATTTTGTTTAAAAATCTGAGGCCAAATTAAACAAAATTTAAATGTACTTGTATTGCAAATATAGTTCATTTGTCATTTCTGTGGCTTCCCTACTGAAGTAGACAAAAAAGTATTTATGAAAATATGTTCATATTGAAATTGATAATCTGAATATAATACAATCGCAATTTCAATGTGGAATTTGAGATTGGGTTTCTCATTGGTTGACACGACATCTAGTGGATGCCTGTTTTCAAATTGAGAAATATGATCTCCCACTACTTAGGTTCTCAAAGTGCTTGGTACGGAGCTCAAGGACTCCTTGTGAAAAACCGAGGGCTCCGTAAGCTATTCATTCACTTATTTATAATACTGACTTGGCTAATTTTGCAACTGTCCAAAAAGCATTAAATTTAACAGCATTAATAAAATTTGACACAGCTGCGTCGAAAAGTGGCAACAAGTCGGTAATTCAAATATGACATTATCTTAAAGTTTCAATCTATTATTTTTTATAAATTTATTGTAGGGATCCATAAATAATAGTCAAACTCTTCACGGGTTCCATGACACCAAAAGTTTTAGAACCCCTGTCCTACTGCACCAACAAAAGATTTAGCAATTTTCATTATTCTACTGATCTAATAGAAATTAAGATGTGCTTATAGGATTATTTTTTATTTATTTTCAAGGATGGAAAGTCGATTTTGTTGATCTTATTTCCCTTTAGCAAGGAATAACTTACTAATTTTCTTTTTGCAAACAAGTTTCATTTACTCATATATATTTATTGTAGGTGCCACGCCATCTACATACAATGCTTTCGCTCATCAGCAAGGAGAAAGCAATCAACAAGTGCTTACTCAACAGCCTTCACGTAAGTAACCTGAAAGCATATCTCAAGTGTATTTAATCGACACTCATTGCCATAAATTGTAATAAAAAAAATTTAATTTATTATTCAAATTCAGAAATGTTGAAAAGCAAATGCGTTCCATTGAAAACCCCTCTACCCGTTACTAGTATAAACGGGTAGTTATAAAATGGCTTTGTCCCATATGTCTGCTATGTCCCTACTGAAATGGTATGTCTCTACTAAAATAGCTATGTCCCTACTTAAATGACTTTTTTAGAAGGGACATAGCCATTTTAGTAAGGACATGGCTTACATAGCCATTTTAGTAGGGACATAGCGTGCATATGGGACATGGCCGTTTTATAACTACCCTCAAGAAAGCCACAGAGCAGTTGGCAGCGGGCACAATGCTGGCCGTGAAATTAATTTTACTTTTCCCTTTACAAGAAAACTTTGCATTCTTCCCAGTTTCATTGCTTCATTAGGTTTCCACAAGGTTTTTTCACTTTGTTGAGCATGAATTGCTTGAAAATAAGAATGGGATTTGACATCAACCAATCGAAACAATACAAATACCACTTGAATCATAAACAGGGGGGGGGGGGGGCATGGGTACTAAAAGCCTCCGGGCGGGATCCACGAGCTAAAAATAGTGGGAACCACTGGATTAGATATCAAGAAAATCACTTTGCTGCAGTCCAGCAATCCTTTTGCATAATCATACTAAAAAAAAAGCCGTGAAGCAGAAGTCTCATGTCAAGTTCAAGTGGCAACAAATTCTTTGTCCAAGTTCTGGCAAAATTCAAGTCACTGAACTTCTAAATCACATGTCAAATTGGATCAATGCTCCATTTGAGTTCCAGTCATAGTAAATTTTACTCACAACAGTGACATGGATATCTATTAGTGATTTTAAAACTTCTATCTATAGTGCAACAAATGTTATTTAGAAATTCGAACAAGGATTAAATATTGGGAACATTTATCTTGGCATTAACATGGCCTATGCCATGGTTGGGCAATTACATTCCTGAGTGTGCCAGTTACGAATATTAGACTTGGTAACTGGGCCGCAGGATTAAAACTCCACATTAAAAATGTGAATAAAAAAAGAGGTCATTATGACGTTTTTTTCATCGGTATTTTCAACGTGAATTTATATATGAAAAAATTATATTCATAATTTCAGTAAATATACTTGGGCCGAATGAAACACTTCAGTGGGCTGCTGCTCATAATTTGCCCCACTTTGGCCTATGCTGAGTAATTGCTGCAACAAGCTAATAATTTATTTATTATATCAATACAGCTTTAATTTATATGGTGAATCATACTCAAGTAATGTTTTTGTCTAATCGTTAACTCCCTCAAAATTGTCTTCATGTTTCCAACCAGGTTTGATATGAGTTTCTCAACATTCAATTTTATCTCATAGGATTTTATAATGACTTGCGGAACTGTGTTTGGTAATTAACTTTGTCAAGTCGTCAAGTCAAAAGTGTTTCTAATGCTTTTCATTTCTATTTTATTAGGTCAGCGCAATTTAACCTACGAATCGCATAATGTTAAAATGTCGTTAGGAGACACAAAGACAACATCAGGTTAGTTTAAGTGAAGTTTAAGATCAACTGAGCAGTGAAACATTTTTATCTATTATCCCCATTGTCAGAATTTTAGGAAATTTTGGGTTCATGCCACAGTTTTATTAGACTTAATTCGTTTGTAGCTGGTTAAATAGACACATATTTGACAAATGGGTCATTATATGGGCTTTTCATAGTGTGATACAATCTTATCATATAACAACTAGATAGTTTTCTCAGTGAATTTCCGGAGTGTATGTATTGTATGAGTGTATGTATGTATTTTTAATTTTTGTAGTTTAATCAATATGATAACCATAGTACAGTGAATAAGATTTAAATATTTATCCCTGAAGTGAGGAAAGCTGCTAAGACGGTTCAGTCATATGGCTAACCAAGGCTCTTGTCTGTTGCTATTCAATGTCGGGTATGGGATTAGTTAGCTTGTTATTTGTTTCAGATGCATGGACTTGGTGGTGGAGGAAGTCGTGTGAACCACCTTAAGGTGGCGAGGAGTCCAGGAATCCTCTTGTACATAATTTTCTTTAACATGTTCGAACCTGCATGGTAATCAGAGGTGCGATGACTTTTCCTAATGCTTAGCATGATGCGCCACACTGAAAGGTCTAAGTAAATAATGGACCACAATACAAAGATAGTTCTTATACAATCATCACCTACCCATTTTATTACACCATGCGTGGTGCGAATTCTCTACATCCCTCTCCCCCAATAGGGGGGGTGAACAACCTCGTAAAATCCCTTCCTCCCTCTTCCTAATTTTTAGGCGTTACCTCTGTTCTTAACATAAATAAAAATGTATTTGAATATTGCTAGTGAAGATGATCAGTCAAATACCGACTAAGCTGTCGTCGGTATGTGATTTGCAATCTGCATTTCAGTATTTGGATATTTTCTGTTTATGTTTTTATTCACAATAAGATATCTCAATATTTTACACGCGAACCTCATCTAGTATCTTGTTTTGAGTCGAACAAATAATTTATTTATCAAAATTTTCGGTTTTATTGCTAGATGTGAACCATGGGCATGATTATCATTTGGACACTGATATTGACATGTTGCAATCTGTGAAAGCGAAAACTCAACAATTTGAAAGTAAGTGATACCATATGCTACAATTTGGGTACATAATTGGGTGCTCCTGAAGTGTGTGTACCAATATGGAGGTAACTAATTTTGTTGGCCTACTTTACATCAAGTTGTGTGAAGGGACTGATTACTGGTATACACACTACTGGAGTACTCATAATTGTCCTTGTACGACATTTATTTGCAATTTTTGGGATATAAGTCCAGTGGGGAAGATTAAGTGAAAGACTCCTTCTAGAAACAAAGATGTTTGCAAATTGCTTGTTTTACCCTGTTATTGAAAGCCAAGCATCTGAAACTACTGGTTAACTATTATAGCTTCCAACGACATAAAACCTAAAATGGATGACGGCAAGAATGAGTTGCTACAACCAAGTATAGCTCAGCTAAGAATTGAGACAATTTAGTAAACTCAGGATAGGATACGATATACATATTTATCCTGGGATGCATTGATGATGGTGGGAGCCATAACCTACCAGTTGTTGGGTAAACAACCGTACATAATGTGTGAATAGATAAACATTGGTGGTCAACTTTTTTACACCAGTTGAATGAAACATGAAATACTTGAAAGTAATGATATCAAATTTTAGGAGTTTTTTCTAAGTACTGCAACTAGACCCAAACTAACTTTCAACTTCACCTGCATATCGGAAATACAACTAAAACCTGGCAAACCTTCGTAAATTCATAATGTTCACAACCATGTCTAAAAACTGTGTGAATGAAAAAGAGAAATAAGTGTTTGAGCAGTTTTTAAATTCCCATTGTTATGTCAGCTTTAACATATTGCTGAATAGCCAATGATTTGGATTTAAACAAGCCAATAGAAACATGCTTACACATTTTATTCACGCGGGCAGGAAGGATTTGAATATAATTTCAAAATAGTTGAATGTTCGAAACAACAATATCTTGGAAAAGTTTCAAATTCAAATTCAAATTCAAAAATTTAGTAGCAGTTTGTGACAAATTTATTTTAGAAATATTCTAAAAATAACCAAGGCCTTTCTATTTCAGATATGCATCCAGACAATGCAATGAAGCATTTACAAGGTAAGTGATTATCTTTGTATCATAGAATCGATAAAATTCATTTCTGTCAATTATTAGTAAATTGCCATATCTTATATATTACAGATTGCCTCAAACTCACATTTGAACAAATTACTTTTTTACCTACATACTTGTATACCATGTAGTGATTGGGCATTTTGTTATAATTAATTGGGCTGAAACTTTCACATGTTACAAATTGCCTTAACTCACGCATTGACACATTACGTTTTCAACTACGTGTGTCCTATGTAGTGAAAGGACAATTACTCTCATCTCACTTTTTTGCTTCATATTGAAACCTGTGCCAAAGCATGTAGTTTTCATCTTAAGGGGGCAATATGTCAGATCCAAACCCGAAGAATAATTTCGTTGGATTTTACATGAAACATCCCTGAATGATTTTCGAGTATATACATAATTTTCCGGCAGACATGGATTCTAAAATAGTTCTTGTCAATCTCAACAAAGCTGACGCAAGAATATGTATGAATATTGAACTGCAACAACATTTCCAGAACTTCCATCTATCCTAATTCCTAAGTATTTTGAAGAATTGTACTTGCAGTTTGTAATTCGAATCACTTCACATCACATCACACCCATCATGGTAATTGTCAAAAACAAACACATCAAAATATGATTCTAATAAGCTTGATTTAAAATATCTGCAGATAATTTCGTTCAATATCTATACCAAATGCTATGTTTTATTAATACTGTATTATATTTTACAGAACAAACTAAAAACCCGGACAAAGGTTTGTTGAACAAAGCATATGATAAAGTCGTTGGTGGTGTAAAAACCGTATTTGGTGGGAATCGTAAAGCAGCTCTTGCCGCTGGTGACAACACATCTACCAGCTTATATGCAAGTACAGTCACCATGGATACGGGTGAGTTATTATTACAATCATGTTCTTAAAATGAAGTTTTATCTGCATTGGATAATAGGCATAGGCATGGAAAAATATTTTAAATGATTTAATCAGGATTCATGTTATGGCAGAGTTTAATAATTCTTCTGCTTTTTCCTATTCTGTGACTTTCAATTCCACTGTCACAAATCACAAAAAAAAATAAAGAAACACATTAATATTTTTCTTTTTTCTCCAGTTCACATCAATTGCCATCTCAAATTTCACTTTGTCATTTATCCCAGAAAATTAAAAATTTTCTTTGATTGATATTTAAACTAAATTTTACAGGGGACAAAAACTATTACACACACAATGCGGATGATTATAAATGTAAGTACAGTTGCTTTATTTTTACCTTTATTTGCTCATTTAGCAAAAAAAATTGTCAGCCAGAAAAAAAGGGCTCAAACCATGATTTTGAAATCATCAGGTAGGATAGAATTTTCATATTTATGCTGAAGATAAAAAAAATGCATGGTTTTGATAGTAGATGTAGCCATAAATTGAACATATAAATTAATAATCAAATTGATTTATTTTACCTAATATCCAGTGCACATCATCTACCACTTAACAATATAACCGCGTGGGTAGCTAGGTCATCTTTAAAATTCTCCATATAAATTTCCGAAACATCCAAACTATGGAATTACAACATTCTGTTTTCACTATTCGATTTACATTTTTCTATATTACAGTAAATTTATGACATAACTTTAAAACTTGACACAAGCCATTGTTTAACAGGTCAAAGTTTAAAAGTTGTTCAATCCGAGTTCCCAGTAGGCATGTTCATATCAGGTGCAAAACTCACCTGGGATCTCCCGAAAGCCAGAAAGGATGTCAAGAAGATTCAAGTAAAAATCAGTGACGGTTCGGGCGAAGTTTGTCACTCTCCATACCTGCGTAAATATCACAAAGAATGGAAAATTGATGACTTGAAGCTGGAATGTGGTAAAATTTACCATGCCACTATCTATTGTACTTATGATGGTGAAAGGGGAGAGTTTCCCAACCTTGCTGGAGAAATAAAATTCTATACACGTGAGTACTATGTACTGATGTTTAAAGCTATGTATATATAAGGTAAATATAGATCACATTTCGCGAACATAGCTTCAACATGAAAACAGAATTAGGTGCTATTCTGTTGGCATTGGCAACATTTCATCCTGCTGTCAAGCTTCCTGAAATTGAAATTATTTATAATAACAGAATGAGTTTCGCCGTTGTGCAAGTGTTTAAAATCCGAATTTGGTTGTTTTATTATTCGGTGTAATATTATCTTCTATCTCAAGGGATCTGTGTCTGGGACCCAAGTTTTATTAGGAAGTTTTGTTGACCCACAGTGCGAAATTAGATCTGAAGACAGTTTTTGAATAGATCAAATCTGGAATTATATATAAGAAAACTTTTTGATTCCATTTCAATTTTATTATGAATCTCATTTTATCTGCTTCTTCCCACTTGCTAAAGTCTAGTTCGAGCGCAATGTACCTGTACACACCACGCTTCAGATTGACTGGGCAAATTGTCTCCATAATATTCCTCTCACTATTCACTATTTTTGTGTTTACATTTACCAGGACCTGCAAAGCCGAAGGATTTTAGTATTACATGCAATTCTGATTCTTTCACTTTGAAATGGTTAACATCAACGGGTAACTGTGATAAATACCATGTTGAGATCTTTGAGAAGGACAAAGATGTTTTGCTTGACCGGAAAGAAGTTAAAGGTCTTGTGCAAGAATGCAAATTTGATGTTGATAGCCAGAGGAATATCTATCTCGGTAGAGAATACAAATTTGAAGTCACTGCATATTATAAGGATCAAAAAAATCCATCCTTGAGAGAGAAACTATTTGTTGGTAATTTTCATTTTTACCCTTTTCTCCCTGGCTATGGCCAACATACCTATCTATGTTAAACACCTTCCATTTCACTAATAGCAAAATATCTCATTCATTGCGAAAAGCATTTGGAATCATTATTTGACTGTGTAGATTTATATCTTACAACATGATTACTTGTGAGACTGAGAGAGATAATGGATTCGCCAATACAGGTTGATGCTTTGAGCCCCACTGGTTCCAGTTTCTACACATTCAATGTACACTCATCTGAAACAACTGATAGTTTTTAATTCCAATCCTAATCAGATGAGTATTTGCCACATGATCAAGCCATATTATCAGCATTTTTTTTTCTTATGTGTAAAATATTAACACTGTAATGAAGAAAATTTTGAGATTAAATTCAAAAGTTTTATAAATTTAAAACAATTTTTACTAATAAATCTTTTAATTGCACCAGGTGATAAAAATGGCCCTCAAGAAGTGAGAGCAAAATTTATTGGAAATACAAAGGATGTTGAATTGAATGGAAGAAACCAAATGGAAGTTCATGGGGTTCAACAGTAAACTACATTGTTGAGGTGTTAATGGAGAATAAAGTTTTCAAGTAAGTTTCAATAGAACCATGGGAAATATTTACAAATGAATGTTTGGATACTGAAATATTTCAGATTTAGGGAATAAAATCGATATTAACAGTGAACAAATTTAGGTACTCCCGTAGTATATGTGCCAGGTTGGGGTTAGGCCCTAATTTTATTCCGATTTTCCTCATATTAGTTCTATTACGAGTATGTTAGCCAAGTGAATATATCCACTGCCCTTATGTTTCAGTCCCTTTATACAACTTGATGTAAAGAAGTCGAACAAATTTGTTAGCTCCTTATATGTCTTATACTTCTGGATCGCCCAAATTTATTTACATATTATTCGTGTTACGCATGGTGGTCATGCATCTTGAACTCTTTACCTGTCAGGTATTACGTAGGTCATATTTGAGTATATTGGGTTATTTTCTTTCCTCGCACTAATACTGTATCCATTTTTTCCAAAATAAAAATTCAATATTGTTTCATCTATGTTCGTGTATTTTAGAAAAATCGAAACTACAAAAACAGAGTACAAGATTGATGGTTTGAAACAGGGAACATCTTTCACATTTCAAGTTGCAGCAATAGACCCAAAAGGAACGCCAAGTCTTTGGATAGTATCCAATTCATTAAAGACAAAATCAAGTAAGATAACCATACTATGTGTCAGAGGATTGCTGGACTCCTCGCCGCCGTAAGGTGGTTAATGTAACCGCTGGTTGGTCACGGCTTCCTCAACCATCAAGCCCATGCATCTTTGAAAAATTAAAATAACTGGCCAACTAATCTAATACTCGTCAAGGATTGGTAACTATACGAGAGGCCGTGGTTTGCAATATGATTAAGCTGTTTTATCGGCTTTCCGATGAATATGTAAATCTTATTTTGTATCAAACAACAATAGCATAATATGTCAAATATCAATAAAATTTTAAATCTTTCCAGGTTCTATTAAAGTGGAAAAATTCAATGTCCAGCGAGGAACGGAGGATCCAGCTACTACACTTTACTGTACTTGGGACTCTCCACCAGGAGTAGAAGAGTATAAACTCCGGTATCGGCATGGAAAGAATTCCTTTGTTGTGTGCTTTGGGAAAAGATTGCAAAGAGTATGTTATCCGGAATCTTTTGCCAAACACTGAGTACAGAGTTGCTATCAAAGCTGATAAAGATGGATATGGTCCTTATACAACCCCGGAAACGATCAAAACAGGTGTTTATCGTTCATAAGTGTCTATCCTGCATGGATTTGCAGGTCAAATCCTCTGAAGGATAATTATGTGCGAAAGAACTGCTAGACTCGTCACAGAGTGGTAACCGCTGGTCGGTTAAGACTTCCTTCATCATCGAGTCCATGCACCTGAAATGTATAACTAGTTAATCGTTGTGTACAAGTAAATAATTACGGTAAAAATAAATAGAAACAAGGAAGCAATGCCCAAATATTTCGATATATGCTGAAGTGTAACAAAATAAATTGTTTCAATGAACTAACATAAAATAGCAAAATTTTGGATACAATATCTTGGCTAAAGAACTTGGGAAAAGTTTGAAAAAAATTAATAGCTATCCGGTGTCCAGTATCTTCTTCTACGTTCAAGTACTGAAATTTGGGTACTCCTGTATTATGTGTACCAGGTTAGGGTTAGAATATAATTTTAATCCGATTTTCCTTATTTTATTCCTAATACATGGGGCTGTCTGTGTTAGCTAAGTGAATACACACCCTACCCATCGGTTTCAATCAACTTGATATAAATAGGCAAACAAAATTATTTACTTCCATATTGGTACACACACTTCTTGAGCGGTGGAATTTGAAATATATCGTTCCAATATGTGCAGAGAAAATTTTATCCAAACAATAGCATTTATTTAGCTAAGTCATTTATATCCATTAAATGTCCAATTCAATATTTAATTCATTTCTACTCAGATGTTGGACAAGTTAGCAAAGCTTGGTTAGAACTGGACAAGTTGGATTCAGTGGTTGTTAAGTACAATGATGCATTGAATGCCACATCTCACCTCATTGAGCTACGGGATTCCACTGCAGAGGATCAACCACGGGTTCACACAGATGATGGTCTATTCACTGATTTGAAGAATAATTGTAGTTACCATGCAATAGTGACACCAATGTATGGACAGAAGAAAGGGAAAGAAACACAAACAGAGGAGATTCTAACAGGTAAATAAACTGAAGTCAAAGCAATTGACGTATTCTTATGGACCATAAGGCACACCTTGAATACTTTGTTTTAAAATGGATCGTGCGCCTAATGTATGGATCAGGTAGTACTGTATGCCCACCCTCAAAACCAGTGGTCTTTAATAACTCATTGTGCCTTATGTATTGGTAAAATCCCAATCTAATAAATTCATTGACAGAACGCCTTATAACACGCTGTGCTTCATGGTAAGTAATGTACAATAATTATTAACATTTCCAACACTTGGCACACATCATCAACCATTCAGCAATATAAATCTATCGTATAAATTATTTTTCAGCACCTAAAGCTCCTCTGATAATGAAAAACAACTTCATACCGGACGAAGAAAACCCAAATTCAGTTTTCCATCTCTCCTGGAAGTCCCAACCAAATTGTTATGGAGAAGAACTGAAAATTTCTTGCTTGGACTTCAATGATGAACCACAAATACTACGACATGAAAGAGAAAGCAATGAAGATGGAAAATGCTTTCTTACATATCGAGGTGGTAGATCTGGTTGCAAATACGGAGTGCAAATGAGAACACGGAATCGTGGGGGTTTTAGTGAATGGTCAAAGCCATTTGAATACACTACAGGTGAGATTTGTATTGAAATGTCTTTTTTTAAATACATTCTGAGATGTTCTTTCCGCTTTCATTTTAATAATCAAAATGAGAATTACGACTCAGTAGTATAGCATCATCAACAGCATTGCTACTAAAATCCTCTATGTTTGTGGCCCATCTGAAAAGGTCTCTGTGGCCCAGCATTGCGCCATGGCCCACTGGGTAAAAATCATTGGTACCAAACCCATAACCACTTTTGCTATCTTTGTTTACCAGTTCCAACCAAAGTTTCAAAAATTGGATTGGAAATTGTAGGAGACCAGATTACTTGCTCATGGGATGGATCTTTGAATGCCGACAACTATAAAGTAATCTTGCACGAGTGCAAACTAAACGGTCAATGGGAAAAACTAGAAGCAAAGGTAACCACCTTTTCTCTATCTATATCAGCCAATCAATTTTTTTGGAGAAGTAAAATTTGTTTTGGGTACTAGAAAACCAACGGGCAGCAGGGTGACAAAACCACCCCAACTTTGAATAAAAACTCAGTTTGTGTAGCCCTGGTTTACGGGCTGATTATTTCATGTTGTTAGCCATTTTCATTATTGGAATTTCAAAATGCATCTATGCTGGGAAGAGCATTGAATCTACAAGATGCAAACCAATGTATTTTCTGTAGGAAATAAATAAAATATAGCACGTGCTTTTTATTAGTTTTGTTATCTCAGATTGACTGAATAACATAGTGCAATTCTACATCTAATATAATGTTTTTCAACAGGAAACCTCAAGACGTAGACATTCTTTCGAGACAAAGGCTGGACATGGAATCTTATTTACATGTAAAGTGATTCCATGCAATGCAACTGGTGAGGGAGAGACGGCTTGGTCTAACACTGAACTATCTCGTGAGTAATGGTTATGTTTATGAGTCAGCATTTACTTTCAAATTTACTTTCTTCAAATGATTTGCGTACCTCGAAGAGAGGGGGGCGAAAATAGGGTACTCTCAAATGTGAACCAAGATGGCGGCCACCTGAACATAGTTTGTATACCAAGTTAAGGTTAGGCTTAAAATTCAGGTAAAAATACTACGGGAGTCACTTGTCTAGTCCCCAAATTCGTAATAGAACTAAAATAAGGAAAATTGAAATAAAATTATGGCATAACCGTAACCCGATGCACATACTACGTTCCGGTGTCCGCCTTTTTGGTTCACATACTTCGGGAGTACCGAAAATTATATCTGAGACACACATAAAGTTTTCCACTATTTCTGGAGCCAAGTATTCAGAAATATGTACTTGTTGAATTATTTGTTTCAATCACTAAATTACCCTGCCAACTTTCATAAACCATGGAGAACAGATATAACAGGGGTCGGCAACCTACGGCCGCGGGCCGGATATGGCCATCATCCATTCAGTTTTCAACTTTCTAAAAATATGTGCGGCTCGCCAATGACTCGCAATCCTTAATTTTGGCCCGCGAGCGACAAAAGATTGCCGACCCCTGAGATATAACAATATTCTCCTTGAATAATCAAACAGAAATCGTATTTTTTTTTATATTTAAATGAGCTTCCTATTGCCAGGATGTACCATAGAGAAGTTTCTGTGACACTGTGTGTGATGTACAATAGGATTGCTGAAATTGTCATGGTTAATAGGTGGTTCTTCTTTGATTCTCATGGCTCAGTAAAGAAATAGCTCGCATACCCGTAGATTTATCTGACAGTGACAGAGCCCTGGGAAGTCAGATGAGACACTTTGAGAACCTGTGGTTTACATCATTATACTCTAGCTGAGTGGTTTCCAACTTTTTTTAATAAGTTCCTCCTTTTGTCTATTTTGCCTTTATTTCTCCCTCACTATGTATCATTCTCCATTGTTTATATTATAAATATGTATGACACTAACATTAAATAACTATACAATATCTGCAAAACTGGCTGAATACAAAGTTATATTGCCCCCCCAAAAAAACAGCAAAAATTCTCACTGAAGATCTTACATACATGTTTTCATTTCAGCTCTTCTACCACCAACAGACCTGGCGTTTGAGTTTACTGATGATGGAATCCAATTCTGTTGGACAAATTCAAATGGAATGTCATCAGCAAAAGTTCAACTCACAGATTTCGAGGAGTTTACAGAAACAAATATTACAAAGCAGAGTTCATGGAGTTTTTTCAAACTTTATGATGGAACCTCCTATAAATTCAAAGTTTGGGCAAGAAATGGCGGCCATCTCAGCAACCAATATACATCCATAACGTTTGCAACAGGTAAACAGTACGGTTTAGAAAATAGATACATGATTTAATATTTAAAAACGCTTTGGTTAGATTTAATAAACTCGGACAAATATTTTATTTGTTGTGGTTCAGATTCAAAGTGATTCGAGCAAATAAATTGGGAGGGCGGTATAATTAGGATGGATTATGACATAGGCGCAAAATTTTTAATGTCATTGTGATTTGAAATTTGTGCACCAGCAAGAAAGTAAGGGTTTTGGGATTTTTCATTTTAGATGCACGACTCAATGGTGAATGAAGTAATAAATGACTAGTAGTTATTTTAACCCCTTATCACTATAAGAAGTCCAGGCAATCTTGTAACACACATAATAATTTTCCACAGGGTGCGAGCAGGTGAACTTGTACAGTGTGGCGCATCGTGCTGAGCAATAGAAATACGCTCGCCAACTCACCTGATTACCCTGCTTGGTTTGGCAGGTTTGAATCCAACGCGAGTATAATTATGTGCGATAAGATTGCTGGACCACCATCAAGTCCATGCTTCCGAAAACAAAAATAACTGGCTAACTAATTCCAGACTCAACATGGAATAGTAATCTGATGGGAGGTCATGGTTCGCCATATGATTGAGACGTTCTTTTTTTTTCAGCTCCGAATGATGTCATTGTGAAGCGAAATAAAGAGAATCCAGAGACGAGCTTGGATGTTGAAGTTGTTACAAGACATGATGGCCCATATACTTTGATCATCAATGGCGATGAATATATAAGTATCAGTGGCCGGCATTACGTAATTGAAGATCGTCAACCTGCCACAAAATATGAGATTGGTGCTCAATCTGTGTTTGACAAAAACAAAAAGACATCGATTACATTTGGGAAACCAGTAACAACACGTAAGTTGGGTTTTGTTTTAGCCAAATAAAGCAGTGTTAATTCTCAGGAAGATGACCATTCCTAATTTATAGATAGAAAGGAAAAGTAAAAACATTATTATTGTATGATAATATCTATCGACCTCTGAATCAGGCCAACATGGATAAGATAAGGTTTACATATTTATCCTGGGGGAAAGGAAATCTGATAAGATGGCTTAGTCATATGGCGAACCACCCTCCTGTACGTTACAAGTCTATGTCGATATGGGACTAGTTAGCCAGTTACCTTCTTCAGATGCATGGACTTGTTAAAGGAAGCTTTATCGACCAGCGATTACATGAACCATTGCTGCCGGTTTCATCATTGAAACTAATTCCTTATGACACTTTTCATGCCTTCACTTCAAGCCACTCAATCTAAGGGGGTTGCATTGTTTTTAGAAGATTTACAATCTTTCTTATTCCCCCCATTTTATTTTGCTTCATGATTTAATAAGTTTATATCATTGACAGTTGCAGCTAAAGTATCTGGAGTTACATGCCTCCCAATTGAAGACACGTCTGGCATGACCTTGAAATGGGAAAATTGTGGAAATCCGAGTATCAACTACAAAATAAGCTGGTCAAAGGATTATATCCCTTTTCATCCCATTACTTGTAAAAATTCCGAACACAAGTTTGTTGACTTGAAGCCGGGAACTTATGAATTCAAAGTTTCTGCTGGAGGCGCTGATTCTGATCCCTATACAGTTATTGGTAAGTAAGTTAGAAATAAGGTGTCACGCCTACTTGCCTTGATAAGATGTTCTCATACCTTCATTTCAAACAAGGTTCTAAACAAGCTATAAATAAGTAATAAGCTAGTGTTTCGAAAGGCTCGGTGATGTGGCACATTGTGCTAAGCGTTGGGATATTACCCTGTGTGGGTTTGAAGGTTCGAATCCTGTTCGGGGACAGTTGTGTGCCTGAGGATGGCGACTGCATTAAAACAGCGACTGGTATGATAGCGACTTAAATTGTGTACACTATGTAGAATTTCCTGGTCGCTTTGTCGTGTCACATTAATTTTAAGGCTGTTTGAAAAATTTGCCCTAGTGAATTTCATAACTGCATGAAAAAAAAATGACGTGATATGTCATGAAGGCTTTTTGTACAGCAATGACAAAACAAAGTTAGCGTTAGGGTGTGGGGAATGGAAGGTGTGTGTGTGTAGAAGGTGTGTGTGATTGGGGGTGAAAGAGTGCCCATGCGCGTAATCCTTGGATTTAATAAAGGAAGTGATGCCGCTGTTGTGGCAGTTGCTGTTTTTAAATGAATCGCTGTTGTGTAGTCGCTGTTTTAAATGAATCGCTGTCGTGTGGTCGCTCTATTGACAGTCGATATGTGGAACCCTAGCCGATTCACATAAACTACTGGTCGGTTACGACCTCCTCCACCATCAAGTCCATGCTTTCGGAAACAAATAACTGGCTAACTATCTGGCTAACAACATGGACTGGTAACCACACGGGAGGCCGTGGTTCGCCATAAGATTAAGCCACCTTATCGTCTTTCCCTCCTCTGGGATAAATATGTAAATCCTATTCCAAGTACCAAAGCTAGCCAGTTTGGCATTGCCTACCATATCTAATAATAGTTCCTAGCTCTACTTGTACCTATTCACCTACAATCATTCAGGCATATACACCTCAATTGTGAGGAAAACCAATGAGACACTTAATCATATGAAAAGCCACAACCTTTCAGTCAGTTAACCTTATAGCCAAGAATGGTGCGATAGATCAGGATTTTCATAGATATCCAGAATAGAAAAGAAAGCCAAAACAACGGCTTAATCATATGGCGAATTACAGCCATTCATATGGTTACCAGTCCATGGTTATTCCTAGGTGACTCAATTTTTCTCTTTTGACTTAAAAATTATATTTGAATTTATTTTTATTTTGCAGTGCCAGAAGGTCCTAAAATTTATGTTGAGATTCTCACAAGCAAATTGATGCACATCACCTGTGATCAAGTAGACCATGCCGATGAATATATTTACAAGATATGTGCTAGCAACATGGAAACGCCAAAGATTTTCAAAAGAGAAGACCCTGAATTATGGATTGATGAACATGAATTTCAATTTCAAGTTGGTACTCACTACCTACTTGCTGTCCAAGCTTGTTGTCATGACGATAACAAACAAAACCATGTGAGCCTTCCTACAAAAAGACGGTTCTACACAGGTATGATATAAAGGTTCTTGTATGGCGCATCTAGGACATGCATGTCATTTCAGCTGTAAGGATTTGCAGGTTCAAATCCTGTGGGAAAAATTAGTTAGGGGGGGATGCTAGACTCTTCGCCATCGCGTCCAGGGTGGGTGAACACTGATAAAACAGCTGAAACTTTTGGGAAACAGCAATTTTTCAATCCAGGCCTGTTTATCGCGAAAATTTACCAACGGTCCTGACTCACAACTCTGTGTTGAGTTTGACTCTGGGTAAGGAAGGATTTTCACTCCGACTCCTGACTTTTGCATATGCAAGCCTTCTTCTAAGACTGTGGAGAATGCTTAGCAACTGTGGAAAATTCCGACTTATTTATTGCCTTCGAAAGTCTCTTCATCCCGTCTCATGATTTTGATTTCAGTGAATGCATGCCATACTCCGACGGGCCCTGCTTTTCAGTTCAGTACTTTATTTTTACTGCAATGCGTACTTTGATGATATATTGGGGAATTATTTTTCTTTATCAGATTGTAATCCGCAAGCTAATATAGTGTAATCGACAATTGTATGTTTCCAACGCTTTGCAGAACGCAACATAGAGCAAAAAGTTTTTCCATCATAATTCCAAGTCAAATATATTTGAATTTATATGTTTTATCAGGATTGGAAAAACCTTTGGATTTAAATGTCGAGCTTGACAATGTCACACCAACGAGCAAAGCGGAATGCACATGGAACAAATCACCTGGAATGCTGAAAGCAAAGATACAAGTTCTGGATTCCCAGGAAAATGTCATCAAAGACTCGGAGACTCCAGACTTGAAATTTAACCTCTCAAGTCTCAAGCCTAACCAAACGTATGAAGTAAAAATTTGGCCTGGTGATGGAAAAATGTTCTTTGTTGAAAATTGTGCAAGTTTAAAATTTGAGACGGGTATGTGTATAAGTTTTATATTTGGCCTAAAATTGTATGGGCATCGTCGGCCTTCAAGTATTTAAAGTGCCTAAGCGAATCAAAATAAATTCTAGTTTGCTGTCTTTTAACAGCTTCCCCCAACAATTTTTGTCTCTTTCAAAAAGAATTCCCAAATAATGATATAATGATTACCTTTCATTTCCATTACAGCTCCCAACCAACCAGACAAGGTGACCTGCACTCAGAACAAACAGGACAGAACCCATTCTATCGATGTTACAATTTATTCTGAATATTCTGGGCCTTTCATCGTCCATGTGTTGGACTCTCGCCGGAATATAGCCAAAGAACCGATAGAAACCAATGACAAAAGCATGACTGTAACCAACTTACAGGCTGGTGGGTCATATTTTATCTATGTCCAATGTAAATTTGGGAATTATCTTACGGCTAAGACACATGGTATGTATTGCAAATAAACGGTTGCTTGTTTGTACTCCTGAGAAATGAATCTAGATTCACATTGGTACTCCTGAAGTATGCGTACCAAGATGGCGGACCTCGGAATGTAGTATGTGTACCAGGTTAGGGTTAGGCCTTATTTTATTTAAATTTTTGTCCTCAAATTATGGCCTAACCCTAACCTGGTACACATTCTACGTTCTGGTGTCTGCCATCTTGGTACGCATACGTCAGGTATGATAAAGCTGTTTATATTATAATTAACCATAATTTTCTTGATACCCAATTCAAAGGTGAGTTTTTTCAATTTCATAGATAGTTTCGTGGTATACATCAGGGGTTTCTCCAAAGGTCTAGTGTCATGGAGCCCGTGGAAGGTTGGCTATTATTTACAGTGCCTCACCGTATATTTATATAAAAAAAAAAATTTTTTCGGAACTAGATAATGCCATATTCGAATTGCCAAGCCTTGTTGCCACATTCCGCCGCTACTGTAGTCAATTTTTATTAATGCCATTATGCTATGTTTTCTCAGGGTGCCCTGGGGCTTCGTAAGGAGCACTTTTATGTTCCATTTGCATTTTTTCTGTATCATTCCATTCAATGCATTCCAATGAATATTTTGGTTATCTGAAAATGTTTTACTACCAATTGTTCATTCTCCTAAATTTCTTATGCAATTATGTGTATGCTGAAATGACTAAGAAGGGCTATATGTCATCTCATTTAAGTATTGGCTATTTTTCACAATACGCCCATACTTATTCGAATTTGAACCAGCGAAAGTAAATATGGTGACATAGGTTCCTAATAAGTCTTTTCAATAATGCTTAACAATTAATTCCTAAATATTTTCTTCCCTGAATTAAAAAAAAAATTAGCATATTAAGTGACCATGCTCTCTCTCCCATTGTTTGTAAATATGTGTCAGTTTTTATTAATTTCTTGAAAAATTGAAAGAATAGAGTTTTATGTAATTGTGAATATTATTTTTTGATTTTTCTTGAAAAGTTTGTAAAATGTGATTAATTTATACACTATTTTGCTTTATTTATGTGAATTTTGTTATAAATAATATAAGCTATGGTAGTAATTTTTAGTCTCATCGAACGATTCAAAAATCGCGCCTCAAAATGGTGGGATTTTTATATTTATCTCTGGTGATAGCAAGGACGAGGAAACTTATTATATGGTAGCATAGGTGACTTGGCAAGTCTTTCCTACTGCTCAACAATTAATTCATAAATATTTCTTTACTAATCAGAAAAAGTAGCATAATAAAAGACCATGCTATCTCCCTCGATGTTTGTAATATTGTCAATTTTTATTAACTTCAAATATAAGCAAAGAATCGAGTTTATGGAATTGTGAATATTATTTTCATTTGGTTTTTCTTGCAACCTTTTGTATAAATGCGATTAATTTCAAAACTATTTTGCTTTATCATATGTAAATTTTATTATGATTATTATATTCAATATCAATTGTGAATATATATAATGGTAATTTACAGTCTCACTGCAATCGAAAAATTGTGTACCGAAAGGTGTGGGATTTTCATATTTACCCGTATCCCTGGTGATAGTAAAAACAAGGGAGTTTATTACACGGTGCTCTTCTACTTGAATTAACTTATGATTTGTTGGTTGTTTGTATTTTTGTGATATTGGACCTAATTACCTGGATAAGATGAAGCTATAAAATTAGTTTAAAATGTTTTCAATTTTCTATCGTATTTCTTTCAATGTGTTCAATTTATGTTATCCCGGACTATGACCTTCTTTTCACGCGCTGTAATAATAAAGCTTAATGCGCTCTCGCTGCGAATTGGAATGTAGAACATCCCTAATTAAGTAGGCTTATTGGTCTATAGATACCGTACAAGAGAGATTTTTGGTACAGTGCAGGAAGTACTTGGCAATATTCCTCGCGTTGAATAGCTGAAACCTCGGCGCATATTTCGTGAGATAATTAATATTTTTCCGAACACCTATAGCAGGGATGGCGAACCTTTTTCAATGAATGGGTCAAAAATATATTTTTATCGCGGAACAGAATAGAGTGGGTCACAGATATATAATCAATGTTTATATCTATAGAGAACTTCCGAAACAAATCTTATCTTCTCTTGGTGTAGTTTTGGGCTTTATTTGTGCAGCACTTCTATCAGGGACTTTTTATGGCTTTCGATTTTATGAAATTAGAGTACGAAAACACGCATATGAGTTAACGAAAACGTTTAGGATGATGAGGCAAATTATTCAACGGTTCCAAAGGGTTTGGAGGAAATTCCATTCTGATAGTGTTATATTTTTCGATCAGCTTTCAACCACATTAGGGCTTTTTTTACCGCCCCATTGTTATTTCAGATTTCTAGGTTTTTATTTCAAGTCTGAAGAATTTTGTTTTCTCAACCGCATTGTAGGCGAGAAACTAATAACTGCAAAGTAGCATCTGGTTCTCGTATAACCCCTAAAACAGTCTGCAAATGGACCTCCGAAAGAGACGAGATGTTGCGAGAAATAAACAGATCAATCGCATTATCATGTCATAAACGATCTGAGAGCCAATAGCTGAATAACGTTACACAGCGATGCAGAGTGCAGACACGGCATCCAAATTAGGAGTTTTGAAAATAACCATACCGGCCCGAAAATTAACAATTTGAGTATGAGCGATCGCAGCCCTGGCTATCAAACTGACAGTACATTATAATAGTTCAGTTATTGTTAGATTAATTTAAGGCCGGTTCGATCAATTTTTATCACTGTTATATTAGCATTTTATTTTATTCGTGCCTTGGCGGGTTACGAAATAAAACGCGGTTGGTCACTTTCGTGACCCGCGGGCCGCGGGTCAGTGGTTTGCCATCCCTGACCTATAGGCTAGTCACGGTACTGTACGATACATTAACATTAACCATCCAAGCGAACGGGTAACATAATAAAGCAAAATTATATACATATTCATGGCTTTGCCCATAGCCCACAGGATGGCCGCGAAATGAATGCTACTGCCTAAGACTTTATCATGTGCTTGTGGGTTGAGACTATGGATGGCCAATAACGAATTTTTACTATTCCGACTACATTCGAAATTAGATTTTTGCATATGAAATATCAGATACAAATTCAAAAATAAAATCAAGTAATGAAGCTCATCTTAGTTTGTGAAAGAATTTGCATACAATAAACAATGCAATAACTGTTATCTACAACATGGCTATTTATCAGGTGTTTACGTCCGCAGATTGCTGTGATATTTTAGAATAGTGGGCCTAATGCTTCTATTTTTCGTAAGTCGACGCAACCATGAGTTAGTTATACGTATAACAGAAAAATCAAAATACGGCAAGGAAAGATTCGAGTATTCTGCGCAACAGAAAATAATCTCGGTAAAACGCCATATTTTTAACTATCATTATCAAATATATTTGTCAAAAAGCGGAGAAAGGTATATAAAAGTTTGCTTAATAAACCAACTTGTTTTTCCGACTCAAGACTATTTATTGAGTATCGCAACAAATCCAGGCTTTACATAAATCTTTAGTTTTCGAAAAAAGACCCCTTGCAAGTGAATGGCGGCAATGTCCACAACGTAAATGTGTCCCAACAATATGTGGCACACGCTCCCACGGAAGATAACAAACAATCAGAGTGCTGATTCTATTTCGTCGTCATTACAACACGTGACAGAGTGCAAAAAATCGTTTGCGGAAAATGGGTGTGCAAAGGCGCTTGTGCAAAAGCTACTACTTTTGTGAAATGAAGCGAATCTTACTGTTCTTGCATTACCTACTTAATTTATCGACTATTTGCGCAGTTTTACTGTAAGTTGTGACATCACAATAAGGATGTATGATCAGATGATTTTAGCCACCATTGTTATATTTTTCTGTCAAGTCAGAGCCCTGGGCGCGCTGAATTTCAACTTAGTTTGCTTTGTAAATGACAATATGTCAAAGATTAGTGGGGATTTAGATGTCCTGGGATAATAATACCTTGTTTCAATGTCTCTGATGGAACTGATTCTTTCTTTGTATGTTCCTGGGGAAGGGTAGCCGCGCGTCTCCAGGTAGGTACATGAACTAGTACGGTAACCGGATGAGAGGCTGTGCTTATCGAGATGCTTGAAGTGGTGAAGTGCCCAGCAATCGTCCACCACAGGATTCGAACCTGCGCAGGGTAATTAGAATTGCGTTGTCAGACATCGTCCCAACCTAAGCACAATGCGCCGAACCGATTCCGGTATTATTTCATTAATTAAATAATTTCATTTTGTAATGGCACAGAAAGAATAGATTATTGATATGCTGGGAGTATAGTGGAAGTACTAAACACATTTTGCGTTTACATGTCATGCTTCGGATTTACGAAAAAGCGGATAGAATTGGATACTTCTATAGTAACAGCGATGGACTAATTGCAGCACCTAATAGAAATCCAGCCAAATTTGACGGTGGGTGAGTAAGCTACTATATTACATAAATTAGAAAACGGTGAATGTGCACACCTTAACAGGTATGGTGACAAATTAAACCACTATTAATCTGTTTTATTATTGAATACCCCATGTTCTCAAAGTGGTCGTCGCGACGCACAAGTTACGCGGCGGTGTGGCTCATTGTGCTAAAGAACCGGTGGGAAATTTAGGGGTTGTTAGTGGGAAATAAACGCTCATCTAAAAATGTACGCACAAAAACTCAATTGAAAAATATTGCAGAATGGAAATCACAAAAAAAAAGTGGAAGATTCCCATTCTTCCACGAGTACTCAAGATTCTATTAAAACTCGGTCTATGATATTTGGATCGCGTGGTATTCACGTAACTCATCTTTATCTCTGGATGACCGATAATGACCTCACCAACATGTCTCATACCAGTACCGATATCGATGACTTCCCAAAGGTATCTATGGTACCATGACGCACTATAGTGATTACGCAGGAAGTTTTTGCAGCATGTCAGTCTATTTTCAGATGCCCCGAATAAATTGGGTAGGCATACACTTCAATGAACAAATAGCTGGCCCGTTGCATCATTCTTCTAAAAGTGCATAATAAGTGATCTCGCAAGGTTTCGACTTCTGCACTCATTGCAAGCCCTTATTAAACAAAGTCTTACCA